AAGATTTTAAATAGAATTCAGCCGAGAATACCTATGGAAATGAATTCAAATGAAAAGCTAAGGTGGATTCCTAATCCTGGAAAAAATTCTAAAGGAGTGCAGAATTCCAAGCTAATTTTAAGATAAAGTCCTAGCTTAATTCTAAGGTATAACTTGAGGGACGAAAGTAAGTTCTGAATTTAATTCCTAGGTGATTCCAAAGAGAATTGTATTTCAATCGTGAGGAGTATACCAGATTAATCTTAAAGTGAATTCAAAGAGATTTATGAACAGATTTCAATGGGTTTTTTTTTGAGAATAATTTCTCGAAATACTGAAGAAGATTCAGAAAAGAACTTCAAAAATATCAGAAGGGTCATATTCAGAGGTTAATAGCCTGAAAATATTTAGAAGAATTTCAAAGATATTTAATTAATGAAACATGTAGTTGCATTGAAATTTATGAAAGATTCCAAGGTAATTCTTAGGAGAATTTCTAGGGAATTCGAACGAAAATTCCAAGGTAATTGCGAGGAGAGTAACTATAGAATTTCATGATAATTCTGAATATGATATATTGATAAGTTCGGTTTTCAAAATACAAGAAAAAAATATCGCAATTGTTCTGGGTTTATAACATAACACGTTGCAAATCCTACTTCGAACCATTGCATAAAATGAATATCATTAATCTAAAACAATTTTCAAATTTTGGATTGAACATTAATTAATTTAATAATAAATGAATTAGAAGCATAACACATGAGTTGATAAAGTTGAGATCTGTATTGTTCAGAAATCATGACAAATTCTTAAGTTTAACTTCGTAAACTATAAAATAATTTGAGTCGAAAAAAATTCTGGTTTTTTCCAGATTTTCCCGGATACTTTTCAAATGTTATTTTTACTTCCCCTGAAAGTGTCTTCCACTACTGATTTTTTTTTTCTAACTCACCAGAATTTTCCCTGGAAGTTTCCTTCATTTTTCTACGGAAGCTAGTTCTAGTTTTTTAATAAGATCTTACGACTTCCTCCATATGGTTCTTCTAACTTTCCGTAGAAGTTTATTATGACTACCTCTGGAAAATTCCTACAACTTTATCTGGAAGTTTATTCCCACATTCTCCAGAAGTGCTTCTGACTTCTTCCTGAAGTTTTTCTCAATCATTTATATTCATTTCGTGCATTCATTTACTTTGATTTGCCTCTATCTTTGTGTATCAACAGAATTTCGTAAAATTTCATAGCGTTTGTAGGTTAAGATATTAGCTACAACTTAGCAACCTACAAAAGCTTCATACAACAGTTTATGGAATTTTTTGATAAAGAAATTAGAAACAAATGAATGTAAAAGAATGCACGAAATGAATGTAATGATTTTCCAATCCTCCATATGGGAGATTTTTTCCACACTTGTTTCGAAAGTTTCATCTTTCAGAAGTCCTGCTAAATTTCTCCGGAATTGTCTGCCAACTTGGAAGTTTCTCTAAACTTTATCTGAATGTGTCCTCAGATTTACCCTTAAAGCCCTTTCAGACTTCCCCCAGAAATTTCTTCAAACTTTTCCTGGATTTTTATCTCTTAACCGATACTGCCAGGTTCCTCCGGAAATTACTTCCAAACTTTCCGAAGTTCTTTTCAACCGGTCCAAAAGTATCCCTCAGCTTCCACTGGAAATTTCTTATAATTTATTGATAGTTCTATACATAGTAAATTCCCGGCAAAGCAATGGTTTCCTGATCGGTGTGGTCTATTTTTAGTGAAAATGTATATTAAGCAACCATTTTTATCTGCATCCCATGATATCACCCTTGCTTCCCTAGAAGTGGGAAACTTGATATTTGGTGAAATCAGTGGAAATTGTTTCCCAAGATGTATTTTTTTTAGTCCCGGCATTTATTCAAACTCACTCCAGACGAAAATCCTGGCTGCTCCAGGGGCTAGGACTTAAAAATTCGATATCTGTTGTCGGTTGTCGACGTTTAAGAAGGTGAAGGTGGCGAACCGAGATTACAAACAAAACACGTCGGCAAAGCAGCGGTCCCGAAAGCTGTACAAAGTTCGACTGTGTCGTCATGGACGACGAAACTTATGTGAAGGCGGATTTCAAGCTGCTTCCGGGAGAGGAGTTTTATACCGCATCAGCAAAAGGGAAGGTGGCTGAAGGTGGCAGAAATCTTCAAAACCATCAATCTATCGAAGTTCCCGAAAAAATATCACGTCTGGCAGGTGGCTGAAATCTTCAAAACCATCAATCTATCGAAGTTCCCGAAAAAATATCACGTCTGGCAGGCCATATGCACGTGTGGTCTGAAAAAGCGGCATTTTCATTACTACGGGAACCATCAATCAAGAGATCTACGTTCAGGAGTGCCTGGAAAAGCGGCTGCTACCATTCCTAAAGCAACATAATAGACCTGTGGTGTTCTGGTCGGACTTGGCGAGCTGCCACTATGGGAAAAAGGCAATCGAGTGGTACGATGCGAACAACGTGGTTGTGGTACCCAAAGACCACAACCCTCCCAACAGCCCAGAACTCCGCCCTATCGAACGGTATTGGGCAAGGGGTGAGACTGCTTTACTCTGAGCTGCTTTTTTGCAGTGAGTAACTCGCGAGTAACTCAATGTAACTCAAAATTCAATCGACGTTAATCGATTTTTTCTCTCAGCCTACTCCGTTTACTCTCTTTGAAAAAATTTATCTCATATTAGACATCAGTTTTGTCTGTAAACATAGTAAGATTGTTCAGATCTGCTATTAAAACGATATGAATTGCAGTACCACTTGGATCAAAAGGAATTTGTCCGGAAAACGGCTCGAACTATGCTGGGAATGATTCCAAAGCTGTTGTAACTGTTTTGGAAGTGATTTTTGTTCGTACTTTTCCGTCTCGAAAAGTTGGATGTGAATTAACTGAAGGTAGGTGGAAACAGGCTATTTGTTCTCATAAAAAAAACCAGAGGAATCGCTTTCAGATGTCCACCGAGGAGAACGTGAAATCACCGGTATAGAAGAGGCCAGAGTATCCAGTGTAGCCGCCATTGCCGAAGCCGGTGAGTACGATCCTCGATCGTCGTCCGAACTGTAATCCCATCATTGATCTACTGGACGAAATCGAATCCTGCATATGGTTCAGAAAGAATGCAAGGAAAGGGTTCTTGGTGATCCGAAGATTTTCAATAGTAAATCTGATCTGAACAAGTACAGGATCATCGCTATGGACTTTGCCGACGAGAAACTGAAGAAAGAAACATGCTGCGGATATAATACATAATAGAAAAAAAATCATCATTAAACTAACGATGAAAAATATTTTTTTTTTCTGAAAGAAATATACACGCAGAAATATAGACTTCCGCGTCAACGGCCGCACAAAAATCTTGGTGGTGTATCGCACCATATCACGATTATCCAGAAGGCACATCAGTAGCACCAGAAGTGGGATGGTACCCACTGGCAGCAGAACGTCGCCGTAGTAATCCAGAGCTCAGATCGCAGTATTATCCAGTGGCAGGTTGTCCATCAATGGGATCGCTTCTACTAGTATCAGATGACGTACGGGGCACACATAATTTGTCGGATCGGAAATATTTGGTCCGGCGGATTGAGTTTTTCTATTACTTCACGCCGGATGTTTCTATTTGTTGTTGTTATGTTTGACAGCAACTTTTCGGCTTCGCACCTCCAAATGTTGCTTTGATGCGAAAACTGAGAAAGCCAATGACGGTGATTTTGCTCACTGCGAAATGTGAGTTACTCGAGGTGCCTCAAAAGCAACTCTAAAATTGCTCGTGATTAAGAGCTGTCTTACCCCTTGGTATTGGGCCTTGGTCAAACGGAATATAAAAAAAAAAAAGTTTGGCATTTCGGATTTGGCAAACCAAAAGAATAAACGAACATTTTTTCCTTTAAATATATGAATTGAACTACCAAAATAAAAATAAGGAGAATTTGTGACATGAATTTTGACTGAAAGAAACGATTTTTTGTGGACTAATTTTTGCGCGTTCCAGTCTTTATATCTGGAATATACTGATATCAAAAAAATCATGCAAGCGTTCAATCGTTATGACCATTTTTGAAAGTGACAGTTATTCCGAATCCCCCGCAAAAAAAAACAATCCAGTTTAATAGTCTTAAAAGGAACTCAATATTTGTGACATTACTTTTTTTTTCTCGATGTTTGACAAATACTAAAGATTCCGGGCTTAAAGAATTTTTGAAATTTCTGTCCTTTAAAATAAAAAAAAAATGAAATTTTTCCTAGACCATTTCTTGACATCTTGGGTTTGGAAAACTTTCACGATCAAGAAGCAAAATAGCTAGAATATTGGATCTAGTATTGTTTTTTCGAAACCTCAGAAAGTTTGTGATAGGTCTATCGCAATTTGGCGATCACAGGAAAGAAAAAAAGATGAAATTTAACAATCTGGACAAATTTAGAAAATAACGGACTTGCATGTCCACGGAATTGAAAAAAATAAATAAAAATATTAGTAATTCCGTCCAATTGGTCTGACAATTATCTTGTCAGCTTCAACACACTGATTTTTAATTAATCTTTCTAACATAAAATCAAGCTGTGATTCGATGTGAGATTTTAAAGTCAAATTCTTCACTCTCAACATTGGTCGTAAAAAAGTGACTTTAGTGACTAAATTTTAAGAAATAGTGAATATGAAAAAAAAGTGACTTTCTAGTGACTGACTTCAAAAAAGTGACCTGCTACCTTGCATAGGCAGACTTGGATTCTCCTACACCATATCAGATTTGATGAACAGAATAGGTTTTGCCAAATTTCGGTAAATTAAAGCGGATGCTAGGCAACTTGGTTTACTGTTATTAACGAACGAATTGATTTGTACACTCGCATAGCTTCATAGGGCAGGTTTCCGATTTCAGATGATGCATTTTACGCTACGAAATACGCAAGAAATGGAAGGTTGCATTTTTTGCAATAAATTTAACTTTAATTTTATGTTCCAAATATTCCAAATATGATTGCATCTTTTCGACTTACCCAGAATGAGAGATTAGTGGTTGAGAAAAATATAACGAATAAAACTTAACAGTTGTTGTGAAAACACATTGAATTCATGAGACATACAAAACTCCTTAATTCTACACATGTAGCCTCTAAGCATGCGTAAGCCACTGGATTACGTTTGGTTTAACACTCGCGTGTATCATAATAAGTAACACTTTATTCTTCTGATGACTTGGGTCACACTTTTAGAGCAATTGAGGATCTTCACTGTTTCACGTGCTCGCTGACACCTGCTCATCACTGTTGCGATTTTTTAGACTTTCTACTCTGAAAGTCGAATCCGCAAGAACACTACAGCTCGTGAAGGATGCACCGATCGCGCACCGTTATTCGCGATCGGAGATCACCAATGATCCTGATATTTCTTAGCACGGCAACATTGTCGCGAGTACGGGGAAGTGTTAGGATCCGAAAGACCACTTTTTCTCAAGAGCAAAAAACAAAAAAGAAGAATCGAATCGAACCGACCGATATCTCGACTATGGAAGGAAACGATATTGACAGGTTGAGGGTACTTCGTGGACTGAACCAAACTACAAAAACATACCAACTATCGGCGCGACATAATGCGATGTCCGTTCCGTTCACCCGATCGACCGACCCTTTCAACGTCACATCATCAGGAGGAACCTCGTTTGATGGACTCCTCGTTTTACATACAAGCACACAACACATGCAAGAAGAACACAGGCGTGTGGTACGGACCAAGCATAAAAGAATAAAGCAAAGAAGAGAGAGGGGGTGTGAGTCGACCATAAGGATAGTGCCATGTAGCGGATGGCACCCTTCTCTCCGGTCTCCTCAATCCCGCAATCGTCATACCATCGAACGGGAGCGAACGGAACGGAGGCCGTGAAGATTCGTCACCAATAGTAGGCCTAACGTAGACTGGATGCATCCCGTTCGAATCGTTACTAGGGGTGTTCGAGGCTATTATCTGATGTATTAGCTTAGTATATGCTGAAAAGTTAGCTATTAAATTAAGTATTTCAAACTCAAGGTATGAATTATTGGGGAATAATAAGGTCTGTATCCACAATAATCCGGATACAACAAAAATTAAGTAAAAGACAAATTTCGCAATATATTTCAATTGTAGTTGTTTATTTCAGATTCATGGGACATGATTTAAAAATTCACGAAGTCAAAACATAGTTATTCGGTATCTGCATAAAATTTTCGAACTTTGCGCTTAACTCCATCCATTAGGGTTTGTACAGACTCCTCAGATACCGTGGTGGCCGTCTTGGTCCAAATTTGTTGGAAGTGATTGATATCTTTGATTCCTTGTTTCTTTCCAGAAAGCTTCCGCTTCATCAGAGCCCAATATCTTTAGATTGGACGTAGCTCTGGACAATTTTGCGGATTTGTGGTTTTTGGTACAATATTCACTTGATTGATTTGTTTCGTACCACTCCATCACAGTTTTAGCATAATGGCATGATGCCAAATCGGGTCAGAACAAAGGGTTTTCTTTGTGGCTTTTGTGAAGGGTAGCAATTGATTCTGCAGGCACTCTTTCTGGTAAATCGCCTTGTTGATTGTACCTGTAGTGACGAAAGATTTACTCTTTCGGCCACACGTGGTTTGAATGCTGTTGAATCTGTAGACAGTAAAGGAGACGTCAACCAGTTGCACTGAATTGATCCTCCCATCGAGCCAAGTTTCTGTGAATACATAAACATTATATTCCCCGTCAAGTGCAGCCAGATAAACATCGTCCAATTTAGTCTTGAGTTTCCTAGTATTCTGATAGTAGACTCGTAAACCACTAGAGTGTTCAGTGCGAGCCAATTGTAACTTGTCCAGGATCCGAGAACGGAGCAAAAGATCACCTGTCGTAGAAAGGCTGGACCACATACTTGCCGTAAGTGGTTGGAAGACCCCTTCACTAGGCACGCACACAGGGCCGGGACGGCTGCAGGTCGCTGGCGGAAACTACTCGACTGTGGCGGGGGGCTCGGGGGCTTCCATGATCCCGACGGCAGAGCGTCACAGTAAACAAACAGAAGTTGATTCATCATGATGATGTACGCCGTCACTCTTCAGAGGATCTGGATGCTTCCGGTAAATTTTCATTTTCAGACCATAATTGTCGAGGAGCAGACATATACGATGGCACTCTGGAAACCAAGAATGTTTCAGGCAGCGATTGTACTTGCCTACGCCACAGAAACAAATCCTGGATTTTACTGGTGATGTAAATATTCATGGACAAAGATGGACAGCTGCATACAATATATGGAATATTTCATGACATGTCTCATAAATGTACACGATCGATAATGTAAACTTGAATGATATATGACGCTCCATTTATGTGCATCATAGTAACGGAAATTTACACTACTTTTTTTTAAACTGTGTACTAAACAAATTATCTTACAACAATATCATGAAAAAGGATTGTTTTGAAACGAAAATTGAACGGTCTAGTGATCAACTTCCCGAGCTTTGATCACCCCTAGCACTTTGGTATCATACTTATTTGCCTGATATACTTGGACGACCAAACACCCGCAAATTGCACCGTCAATATTACCCACCAGCAAACTATCCCTATGTATATAAATAAAACACTGCTGCCCTCGTCGTCTTCCTGCTCGAGCCGCCTGCCAGCCAGACCACCACCCTTGATGGTTTGTTTCCTTTTTCCATAATTTTTCCTTCTGCTGTTCAACGGCAAACGACGACGTCGTCCAAAGCCACATTTGATACTTTTTTCCTCCTATTATGATGTGCGCTGGGTTGTCTGCTTTGTATTTTTTTTATATATATTTCTAACTTAATCCCGACCTGATGACATGATGTTCCCATATCACTGTTACACATTATGCAGTTTTCCTCATGCGGCGTCCCCATGGGTAATGAAAAAAAAAAAACACAATGGACTCGGACAAGAATTACTGACTTATTGGTGAGTGGTTCGAGTTGCAGTCGACTGTAATCGTTTGCGAGCGCAAGAAAGTGTAGATATTTGATCGATTGTTCATGAGTCAATTGGAAAAGACAAATAATTTGATAGAACCAAATAGAATATAGTGCTATTAAGTTACCGTACCACAGTGTGACCATTGCTACACTTAATAACTTTCACTATTGGCGTGACTCCCGACCGCTTCACCTAAAACTAACTTTAAGTTTTCACTGAATATCGTTTCAGGAGCAAACTCTTCTTTGATCTTACACTCAACCAGAGACGGCAAGATTCTCTTACGGTTTTGTATTGTGATTTTCACGACCATTAAGTGGTGCTCGGGCCCGCGGAATACTTTCAGTTTGTGGAATGTTCAATTTGTTAACATAAAGCCAAGAAATACCAGTGGGTGGACGGCAACAGAAACACACTTTTTCGAAGTGGGTGATTAGCGTATTTTTAATAATCCTGGTAGATGATCCTTTGAGCTCATAAGATTCATAAGATTGCGTTATGCTTTTTCGCCAAAATAAATCTAAATGAATTTCATAGATTTACCTTATCAAAAAATGTTGACAAAAAAGTAAAAAAAAAGGTGGCAGACCAGAATCGAACCTTGGACATTGACATTATGAGACCATTGCTTTGATCACTTGTCTATTAGCTCTAGACGCGTTTTAGAACTAGGGTAAATGTCAGCTTCGGCACCCATTGACTGTTTTCGGCAACCAAAATTTAAACGTTAATTTCACTATGTTTTACCATCAACACACTTCCCTGAATGTATCCAAACAATTCTTTAGTCTTTCAGCTTCAATCTGATTATATTTGTAGGACCGAGCAATCCTGTTATGCCAGATTTTTCTTCAAATGAAACATACGTACTACAAAATGGGGCTGATTTCGAGTTGCCGATAATAGAACAGCTGGTTAACACGCAGTTCTAATGGGAAGGTTGCCGAAGAAAAAGAGGTTGACGACAATAGTCACACTCACCTGAGAAGTTTAGAGCGTTGTAAAAACGCTTTCAAACAGTTTTGAAGAATTCTGTCGATTGGAATAGATGGAGAAGCAAGCAGCAGATGAATTGAAACAAACAGACACGTCATATATGTGCGTGACGCTGTGAAAATGCTAATAGAAGTGCGGACGCTGCTTAGATTGACGAGAATACGTAAATTCCCCTACCTTGTGTAACAAAATAATCTTTCATAAGTCGCCCTCGCCCCAAAGAAAATACCTGCGAGCAGCAAGCGTGTTTTCCGAAATCGAAAACACTCGGCTGCGGTGTTTGCCGAAGTCAGAAACACTCGGCTTTGGTGCTTGCCGAAGATCCATACACCGGTGCAAACAATTATGCACGGGCACCGGTACCGGTGCCTTGTTCGCTGCGTTTGGTGTTTTCTATCGAGCACTGGTCCGGAGCGTACAACTCAAAGCTCTTGGTGGTGTGTAAAAGAGGCAGTACGCAGTGTAGTGTTGCGTTTAGACATGCCTGCTCCCAACGGTACAGGTTTGAAAAGATAAAAATTTACAAAATGGAACGAACTCACCAAGTTTAGCCAATTGAACTTGAAGGATGCCTGACATGTGTTGATGTAGAACTCCAAATTGTAGTCCAAAGCTTGACGCAGATCAACGTGAACTAGTTCGGTTTAGTTGCGCGGAATGTCTTCCGTCGATTTGAGATAAAAAAAATGTTCGGTTGTATGTAGTCGATTTTTGATGTGCATTTGGCAAGCCTTTTCGTGGCCAATAGTCAGGTTAAACGCTGCGACTCAACGAATGATGGAACTAATGATGGGGCGAATGACGGAACGCCTCGTGGAGGTTCTACTTGGCCTCGGAACAGCTTCTCAGCGGCAAATAATAGCGACTGATGAGCTAGAAATTGTCTCCTGGGCCTGGTTTTGGCCAGATCAGCAACCGATTATAGATAAAAAAAAACTCCACGGAAAAAAACAAACGTTAGGTTCAATCACACGCACAGCCTACTAAAAAAAAATCGAACAAATTCATAAGTTTACGTTATATAAATGAAAATCAACATATTGACCGATTTCACGTGAGTTTGAATGTTTACTTCTCATTTCTGAAGAACACTCGGACTTTTCTCTTGATACCGCCCATTAGATTCTGTACAACTTTCTTCTTAACTCTGTGCTGCAGACCAAATTTTCTTGAAGCAGTCAACAAAGCTTGCTTCTCTTCCATCTTTTTTTAAGATGCCGTTTAATTATTGCCCAGTATCTTTCGATAGGACGCAGTTCAGGGCAGTTTGGGGGATTTTGGAATTTTTCAACAAAATCGACTTTTCCTTCTTGAGCATCTCCAACGTAGCAGAAGCATAGTGAACAGATGCCAGATCCGGCCAAAACAATGGAGGATCCGTACGCTTTCGGTAGATGGGTAGAAGCCGTTTTTTGATGCATTCTTTTCTGTAATTTTCACCATTGATTGTGTCCATTGTGAAATACGAAGAACTCTTCAAGGCACAGGAGCAAATGGCGTGCCACACCAAAACCTTTTTTTTGCAATTTTTTCGGTTCGGATGTATCGCACATCATCAGGCACATCTGTCCTCTGCT